TCTCATTGTTATCATGGGTCAACCTGTATCCCTATTTAAACAATTTGTCAGCAGGATTCTTAACTAGCAGAGAAAACTATTTTCCGGGGACAATCAGAGGGGATTAGTCTTTCTCAGTAGAGTTCCCAGCCACCAGGATAACCACCTCCTCACTATTTTGGTCAGAATGTTTGTCTCTTTGCTGCAGTGGTGCACACCAGCGTGGGCAGCCAGTGTATGACCAATAATCTGAAGATCTAGAGCTCACAGTAATAATTTCACCCTGGTGTAGATGTATGTATCTAGAATCTCATCTCTACCTCTATCTCAAACGCATGATAGTGGCTTCTGTCTTAGATGGATGATAGCAATCTAGTGTCTGGCCTCGGACTGTGTCAATAAGTGAATTCTCTAGTTTGAACAATTTCACTTTTATTGACTACACGACTGTTTTCGTCATGTTCTGGCTAGATCAATATATTGTGTATTGTGTATCTCTATAAGGTATTTATACATATACATGTATGTGTCTACCTGTGATTCTATGGTAGAGAGAAAGACAAGGAAATGAAGAGGAATGATGGAGGTTTCCAAAAGAGAAAAGTCTAGAAATTCTGCATGTAATTCATTGGCATACCACATTCTTCACCTTGGGGTGTCTTGTACCAATTCCGTATGCTCTGTGAAGAGACAGTACTCAGGAGGAGTGTTCAGCACAGAGTGGCCTCTTTCTATCCTTCTTTACCTACTTTTTTGCGTCTCTGTAGATTCTCGCCTATCCTGCCCAATTATTCTAAACTCTATAATAGTTCTCCTTCCAGCCAGCCCTCAGTTGTAGCAGAATCATGTCTTTAAGCCAGGTTCTTAAGGATGGTGCTTGGGAGCTCCTTCAAGCCTCTGGGTTCACTGATATATGTTAGCTAAACATTACAGTAAATCTAAGCATATCTTAGATTAGTCTTCAGGACCCTCTGGGCATAAACATGGCCCAAGGGTCCTTAAGTCCTTTCCTTTGCTCCTCCCTGATGCATCTGCAGAGAAACACGGCACTAAACGTTGTAACCCTCAGCTCTCCTCTGAGATGTGGTATGAAAAGTAAGGGAGGATAGTATGCTGAAAGGAAAGGCTCCTGATTGGGAGATGCTATTAGGTTAGCCTTCTTAACACTAAATTCATGCCAGCAAGTCACTAAAGTATCACCGTTTAGAAAACTACTCTTAGGAACCCTTCTCTTTTGTTTAATTAAAATGTGTTCATGCCGAGTTAGGATTTGAAAATGAACTAGCTGTAGACCCTTGATTGACACGCATTAGATTCTGTGTATTAGCACTGTGCATGCCTGCAGATAAAGGAGTCATCAACTTCCTTCAACCCAGCAACTGAGTGTCCTTCAGTCTATACCACATAATGGTGAAGAGGTAAAGTCATTGGAGCGATGTGCTTACCTCTTTTGTTTAATGCTTGGAGAAAACTCTACATTATCCTGCAAAAATGGATTGTTCTTGTTCAAGAGGAAGTGTACTCATTACCTCACTCATGTAACTGTAACCCTCTGTATAGTATCTTTACAATAAAAAATTAAAAAAAATGGATTGTTCTTCCTAATCAGCACATGTGGTGCTCTCTGAGTCTTCCTTCTGGGTGATGACCAGGTAGGCCCTGAAGTGCTACCAAAATATGCCAGAGCCCTTGTTTACCTGACGGAGACTGAGATCTGAGGATCACGGTTCAAAGCCAGCCCAGGCAGGAAAGTCCATGAGACTCTTATCTCCAAATAACTACCAGAAAACCGGAAGTAGCACTGCAGCTCAAGTGGTAGAGCGTTTGTCTTGAGCTAAAGAGCTGAGGAACAGTGCCTAGGCCCAGAGTTCAAGCCCCACGACCGACCAAAAAAAAAAAAAAAAGAGTTGCCATTTAACAAAGTATTTTATGACTACAATGCTTCTTGATCAGTGACACCCCTTTTCAACATTCTTACCCCAACCTACCCACCCCTTCCCTTACCTTAATTAACAATGAATTCTTGACATCACCCCCCCCATTTCTATCCTTTCTTCTTAGCCCCACCCCTACTCTTGAGTACCTGCTTCCTCATAACCTGCTTTTAAATCAGTGAATTTCTTTGGGTTGAAGATTCTTTGGGTTGTATGAGAGATGATATCAATGTGGGCTACCTCAGTTCATCTCTATGTCCTGTCATATGGATCAGGTCATAGTTCGGCTGGATGATAGAGGATAGTCCTCACTCATAGCCCCCAAAGCTGAGAGCTAGATACTTGAATCCTCTTCCTCAAGCCTCTTCCTCTTCAGGCAGCCAACTAGCAGCCATCCATGAGGGTTGCAAATGCAGTCCCAATAAACCACAGGACACAAGCTCTTTTTGTGACTTCGCTTGCATCACGTTGATTAAATTCAAGGGGAATCCTACTCCTACCCTAACTCCAGAGGTGGGCAAAGTAAGATTATCTCTTGTGACACCACAGGGGAAAGGTAGTGAGGTAGGAACAAGAATTGTTCACTTTTCAGTGAACAGTTTCATCGTAATTTCATCTTAAATTGGTTATTCAGTATTTTCCGAGGTTTTTAGAGCTACCTTTGTCATAAATCATACGTGTGTGTATATGTTAAAATGAATCTCAAAATTTTTTCTCTTTGGTTAAAAAAAAACCTTAAATACATTTTCCGTTGTATTTTTGAGAATGTCTTTGATGCTCTTTTTGTTGTGAATTTTGATTTGCTTCTCACTGTGAGTGTGACAGGCCTGCCAGTATCTTCCACTCTGCTTTGCATACTACCACCTTATATGAGAGACATTTCGTGCTCTTTCTAAAGAATAGAAGCAGCAACCATCAGTTCGTTACGTATCTATCTCGGTGTGCAAAAGATGAGGAAGGATTTTCTGCCTGTTCCCTTTATGATCATATGCTTAGTATGATTATCTTATGGTCTCTGCTTGCTGGTTGACCCTAAGTTTGGAAATAATAATTTTATGGTTTCTTGAAAAAAAGTGATTACAATTGTTATTGAAGTGCTATATTTTACTTATTTTATGTTGGCACCTATTTCTCTAATAATGATGCATATTTATTATTTTGGTTCAGGCTTCTTTCATATCAGCATACATTTGAAAAAAGCCAGAAAAAACACTTGCCCCCAAAATACCCTGTATTTTTATTTTTTGTTGGTCATGGGGCTTGAACTCAAGGCCTGGGTGCTGTCCCTGAGCTTTATCAGCTCAAAGCTAGTGCTCTACTACTTTGAGCCACAACTCCACTTCTAGTTTTCTGGTAGTTAATTGGACTTTCCTGTCTGAGCTTTGAACTGGGTTTTGAACTGATTCTCAGATCTCAGCTTCCTGAGTAGCTAGGATTACAGGTGTGAGCGACCAGCGCTCAGCTCCAAAATATCTTGAAACAGACACTTAAGCAGATATTTTTTTTATCAGCAGTCTCCTGCTGATAATTTGAAACTAGATAATATAGGTACAATTAAATTGGTGGCTCTAATAACTTTAGGACATGTTTAATTCTTAGGTTTTTACAGTTGTTTCAATACTAAGTCTTCTGCAATTAAACAACAAACTTTGAAAATATTTATTTCATATGATAAACTACTAAAATGTCATAAAGAACTAGAAATATGATGGAATTTGGTGAAATGGCCACTGTGGTAACTTTGCAAGTTGAATTAATTTGATCTTATCTTTGAAAAATTTTCCTTGGATCATTTGATCCTTCAAAATGTGGGGCTTTTTTAAGTTAACTTACATTTTTCTCTTTTTTATTGCTATTTTAAAGAACCATAAATGTATTGCCTATCTACTTTGGCCATTTTGTATATCCTGATAATATTCATTTTTTTTATACTCCAAAATCGTTTACCACCTGATTTTGTTCCTCTCCCCTTTTCTATGTCTGTACTTTTGAAGTTCATGAATAATTTTCATTCTTTTCTTCCTATGCATTGAACTGTGTCAAAGTCACCTTGTTAAAAGCCAAAAGTTGTCTTTCTTATTGTATAGCCATATCCTGCTTTATCTTTCTTTCCTAACTCACAGCTAGAATATCCCTTTATTTAAATGACCACTACCCAAACCCAAGTTTTTCTTTCCATGACATATGAGCTATTTTTAATATCTCCATGTAATGAATGAACCTGAAAAAGACCTACAACCAGATAGTTTAAACAGTAAGTTATTCCTTCAATGAGCTACAGTGCTTTTCCTTAGAACATATTCTTAGTAGCATAGTCTATGTTAGGGGTCAATAGAAAAATCCATACTGACATATGCAACCAACACACACTTCTAACAATTGCTCAGAACTGGTGGTAGATGGATATCAAGTTTGATGCTACTACGAATATGTCTCAAAAGGTGAAAAGGAAAAAAAAATCACACAATCAATGTTGATAAAGATAAACCTTTTACAAGCAAAGAAAAAATATATACACTGGGACATGATGAATTAAACAGGTCTCTAGATATTCACACATTGAGGCCAAAGGAGGATATGCAAAGGAGTGATCACAAAGTCTCAATAGCTATGTGCTATGATCCTATAAAATAAATATTTTATGAAATGAACTCCATGAAACAAGAGGTTTTTATTGTAGTTCTGTTCTTACAGTTTTTGTTTTCATTTCTTTTCGTCTTGTTTGTTAGTTTGTCTTTGGAAGGGTAAGGGGGGCATAGATAAGGAGCAAAGGGTGTACAAATACAACAGTGGTACTCACTAGACACTATGTGGAAAGTGAACTGTATATCTTGTGAATGAGATAGGAGGAAAAAACTAGGGGTAGGAGGAGAGAGAGAGAGAGAGAGAGAGAGAGAGAGAGAGAGAGAGAAAGGGAGACATGGTTCAAAAGGAATTGTATAGGTTACCTGACTCATGTAATTGTAAACCCTCTGTATATCACCTATACAATAAATAAGATTTTAAGAATCAACATTTTATTGGTTTTTCATCTTAAACATTAGTCTATTTAGACTTTATACTCTCATCATTAGAACAGATGACTTCTTAGGGTTTTTTAGCAAACAGACTCCTCACCTGCTGCTGTATCTGCTTGGTCCTGATGCCATAAATGACTGGGTTGAGAGCAGGAGGGACCACTACATAGAGATTAGCCAGAAGGATATGGATATACTGAGGGATATTATGACCAAACCTATGAGTGAGGAAAGAGAAAAGAGCTGGACCGAAGAAGCTAAAATGACACAGATATGGGAGCTACATGTATCAAGAGCTTTCAGGCGGGCATCCTGGGAAGGAAGGTGGAAAACAGTGCACAAAATCTTAGCATAGGAAACGATGATAAGAAGAATATCCAGAAACAAAATAGAAATATTCCCAAGGCCGAAGTAGACATTGGCACGGATGCTGGCACAAGCCAGTCTTGCCACGCCCATGTGCTCACAATAGGTGTGAGGGATAATTCGATGTCCGCAGTAAGGCAGCCTTAGGAGGAGAAAGACGATGGGAACGATCATGCAGAGGCTTCTCACCACCACCACCACAGCGATCACACCAATGATTCTGTTGGTGAGGATCATGGTGTACCGGAGAGGGTTGCAAATAGCCACGTAGCGGTCAAAGCCCATGGCAAGAAGGACGATGCTTTCCATGACCGTGAAAAAGTGAATGAAAAAGACTTGAGCGACACAGCACCCAAAGCACAGCTCCCGCAGGCTGAACCAGAAGATCCCCAGCATCTTGGGGATAGTAGCGGTGGAGAGGCTCAGGTCGACCGCAGACAGCATGGCCAGAAAGTAGAACATGGGTTGGTGGAGGCTATGATCAGTCCAAATCACAAACAGAATGGTGAAGTTTCCAACAAGAGCAATCAGATACAAGACGCAGAAGGGAAAGCCAAGCCAGCGCTGTGCAGCTTCTAATCCTGGAATCCCCAGCAGTAGGAAGGAAGAAGGGTGAAATGCAGAGACATTGGGAGAAGTCATTGCTCTCCAGGTTAATGGTGGTGGTGGGATTAAAGCTTTGTTGCCAGTTCTCAGTGAGCAATTCCTCCAGACTTCATGGAGATCTACAAAAATGCAAAATAAAAAGTCTTCAAACAAAGAATTGACAGGAAGAAAAAGTTTCTCTAAAGGCCTCTGACCCTGTCTGCTTTTGATAAATTATCATCACAACACCCCTCAGCTGTACCAAAGGTATTAGCAGCTGAACCGTCAAACAAAAGCCAACACTAGGTCAGATGAAAGAAATATACTTAAGAAATGTCTATTAGAAATGTTTAAAAATGAAATTATTAATTGGAAGTGTCTTTGAGGAATATACATGATGATGAGAAAAGAAAATGGTAATTATAACCATAAGAGTTACTATTAATTTGACCTGCACTATGTTTAAGACATTGTGCCTACAACCGTTTACTTATATTTTATTTACTTATGGTCCTAATTCTCTGACACACATTCTGTGGGTGTCCGTTTTAATGTTTTTGATAAGTTAATAAAGTTTCCATTGTTTACGAAACAATATCTGAGAACAGTTTGAAGCTAGCTAGGTTATATGATATTAGTTTGGATTTGTCCTTATATTTGCAAATGGAAGTCATGAAAGGAGAGGGAGAAAAAAGTATGAGTAATGTAAGAAAATCTGGAGTAGATAAAACTTCCTGGAAAAAAAAGAGTAAGGTATGCCAAGGTGAGAATTCCAGATAAGTTAGCAAAAAAAAAAAAAAAGGTGGGGGGAGGGGCTAACTAGTGATATTTATTCCTGATGTGGTATTCTTATGCAAGAGCCTGCTGATTTCTTTTTTTTCCTCTAATGCTGAGTTTAAGCTTTTATTCCATTCTGTTCTGTAGAATCCAGGGCTTTTGTATTCCAGTATTTTACAACTCTCTTAACTAGACAATAGTTCCTATTTTAGTGTTTATTACTGAATACCAGGACCCTATTGATTTCTGAATCTGTGGACTGTTCAATGATTGCATCTAATCTGATCTTCTGCCTGGAGTTAGCTAGGTGGACAAATTTCTTTTTTATTGTGAAAATACTGTACAAAGGGGTTACAATTACATGGGCAAGATAATGAGTACATTTCTTATCAAGCATTGCAGCCTCCTCCTTTGTTTCCCCTTCTCATCCCTTCCTAGCCTCCCCTTACCCCCCCTCCCACCGAATCCTCCTCCCCCACCCCACCAAAGTTGTAAAGTTCGTTTTTGACATAACGACTTGTACATCTCATTGTTGCAATGGGTCCACCTGTATCCCTAGTTAAATGATTTGTTTTTTCCCTTCCCCTCCACAAATGATACCAACATCAAATACAGTGAAAGCAGGGGTTATACCATGGGGGAGGGACATTCAAAGCAACAAAGAAATAATCTTATAAATATGTTAGAAACAATCGCATGAAAGAAAAAAAATTGAATACATATCTTAGGGTTCATTTCCCTAACATCAACTTATCTGACCGTTTCTGCTTGACTCAGACAAATACTAGTTATTGCAAATAGAGGAAACCATGGGATCTATGTTTCTTTGGGCCTGGCTTACTTCACTTAGTATAATTTTTTCTAAGTCTTTCCATTTCCTAACAAATGAGGCAATGTCATTCTTTCTGATGGAGGCATAGAATTCCATTGTGTATATATGCCACATTTTCTTGATCCATTCATCTACTGAGGGCCATCTGGGTTGGTTCCATATCTTAGCTATAGTAAATAATGCTGCAATAAACATAGTCGTGCTGGTAGCTTTAGTGTG